CGGGTCTGTATATTACTTGAAACCATAAGAAGAGTATGTGATTATTAAAAAAATTAAAAATAGATAAAATTTGCATTTTATGGAGGATACAATTTTTTAGGGATTTCAAAATAATGTACTAAAACATTAAAAGTAATAAGTTCAAATCTGGAACAAATATAAATATTGTAATCATTTCTTATAAATACCATTTCCTAATGTAATTTTCCAAGATATTAAAGATCATAATGCAAAAAACTAAATTTATCAAAAGTAATAGGCTTTATGTTTCTTAAACTACATGCATTTATGAAGTTTCAATCATATTCATCCACTAGTTTTATTGTTGGAATGAAATATAGCAAGACTTGCATTGCCTACTAAGAAAGTTAGTAGTCTGTAATCATCGGGTTAAGGTTTGAGAATGTATTTATCATTAGATAAAAGAATGGAGAACTATATATCTTAAGAATTAAGTAGATTAATTCATAAAATGGATTGAAAACATCCAAGAATACATAAGTTACATTTAAGTTTGTGCAGTATTTTTTTCTTTATCTCAAAAATCAAGATATTTTGTGATCAAAGATATTTCAGTAATAAGATAGCTGAATGAAGTTGATTGGTGGAGAGTAGAAAATTATAAGTTTAATTTTACTATTTAGTTGGTTTTACTTTGAATAGTTAAGCATTTTTCTTTTATTTTATTTCGTTGTAGAATGTATTTAAATAGGTGATAAGTTGATTTTGTTCAACAATTTTGCTTTGAACAGTCAGGAAGTTTTCTTTCTTTACTTTGGTTGTAGAATGTGTATGGGCAAACAACGTTGGAAAAAGGTGTTGAATTGATTCTCAAACTATCAGTGTTACTTGTAGAAGGTTAAACGTTTGTGAAACGATTATTTGTTTGCTACAAGAAATATATGATGATTTTACAGGGGCACAGAAGAAATCTCCAAATGCAGGCTCTGATGTTTTCTACATTTGATGTTTGCTAGAAGTCTTCCTGGCTATTGCTATTTTACTTTATGAACTCATCAGTTCTTGGCCTATGGCAACTGTGTAACGTGTGTTCTTTAAAGTGTAGGAAAATAATTACATGCAGGCTGCAGTGGATTTGCTCATTGTTTTTGTAATAGTCTTTTATACGCTTGCTTTTTAATTAAAATATTGTTGTTAAATTAATCATAAACTGTTGACAAGTGACTACATGCCTTAGTATATAATAATGTCCAGGTAAGAGAAATAAGGAAATTAGTTTTGATAATTTTTTTAAGCTTAAAATGTGTATTTTCTGTGGATGGTTGTTAATATTTTAAATGTTTCAAAAAATGCTGAAGTTGTTTTTAAATCAAGCAAATTATACTACACATATATATTTACTTTTTATCTGTTGTTATGGGGCATTTTTGTGGTATCATTGTATATTGTTAAAAATTTGTTACTTTGGAGTGTTTTCTTAAAAGAAAAAAATCAAGCTATACAAAGAACTGGGACAAAATTAAGTGAAGTTGAAATATGTTTAGCCATTTAATATCAACTATTAAAAACTGGGATCAGGCCAAGTTTACTGCTGGAGTCAATCTTAACTGTAGCTTGTCTGAGATACAAATACTAGATGAAAAGACTAACTTTATAATGTCCAAAAATATCCCTTACAGCTATTACCCCATCTGATAAAACATTGCATTCTAACTCTTTAAGTAAGAATGTACAAACAGTATATTTAATTAGCTAGAATTATTAATGGTTTGATTTTTACTTTTCATCTGAATAAGTTTCTTACTTTGATTGAAAGTTGAATGTTAATGGTGTAATTTTTAATGATAAAACCAAGCAAAGTTGATAATTTCAAATTGCATAATTCCAGAAGCATCACATAGGATGAAATTTCAAACTTGATCATAAAAAAATAAAAAAAGACAAAAAAAAAACTCAGGGTTTTTTATCTGAAAGGCTTAGAAATACCTCTAAATTGATTTAGCTGCCATGTGACTAATGTTCTAATTTTTTACCTATCTAGATAAAATTTAAAGAATGGGTATTGTCAAATTATATGTATATAATCTTCCTTTTTTAATACAAAAATACCTTCTTTTTTTTCTATGGTGTGGTGATGACATTGATACTGCACCGCATGTTTGAAAAGTTGGGTCTATATGATAAATTTTTTTATCTATACAATGTTATCTTGAGCTTAAAATGCAAATTTTGGTTGAAACTTTTATATGATCACATTAATTTTTTATCAGTATCTGTCAGTTTTCAACGTTTTACAGGATTGTAATAAGTAATGAATGTATATAAGAAAGGTCATGTATTATATTGTACGTGGTACTGCAAAGTCTGCCTGCTTAGTGACACAAAATAATTAATCAGGTGCTCACTATGTATCCATGTAACAAAAGGGAAGGAAACATTTTTTGGAAAAGTGCCTTGAATAATTTGTCGTAATTTTGTATTACTTATCATGCTTTCCCCATTAGTCCAAGTGCTTTTAGTTTTCAGTTTCTTAGCTGCTAAGTTAGAAAAAATGTAAGACGGTGGAAATATGTTTTGAAATATCTAGAATATAATATTATGCTGAATGAAAAGGGAATTGAATGTCATGTTACTGTCTGCAGTTGGACATTATAGCTAGTTACATAGTTTAAAATACTCTAATTTTTTTGTCCCAGCAACTTGAAAAGTAGGCTCATTTTGCTTAAGTCTTTGAATAAGGATAAAATTAAGAAACTGAAACCCCAAAAAGTTCAGTTGCTAAATTTTGATAGTCAATATAAAGTGATGAAATGCTGTCATGTTGGTGTAAAAAAATAAGGCCAGCCGTTAAATAGTTTTATGCAACTTTACTGCTTTCTAGTGGGTGGGGGGGACATTTCAATGTGCATGATAGTGATTGGCCACATTTTTTCAGTATTACTTTTTCATTTTAGATATCAATAAAGCAATGAAAGCATAATTATTGTCTGAATGTAGCATTTTTTATTACCCTGTACAAACATAAGATACTCATTTATACAATAGTCCTCAGACTAAAAACACAGTGTAACATTCTAGACAATATTTAGTCATCAAGGATAAAAAAACATTATAACGTTGTAAGTAATATAGTCCTTAATATTAATATTCTAGATTATATCTAGTCCCTAAGTTAAGAAAACAGTATGACATTGTAGATAATACAGTCCTCAAGGTTATTTAGTATAACATTGTAAATAATACATAGTCCTCAATACTAAAAGACAGTAAAACTTGAATAACATTAGGTTGTAACAACATATATCAAAACATTTATTAAATGAAATAGTCTCCATTCTTATCGATGATGCTTTTCCATCATACAATCATGTTGTTAATGCCCTGATTAAAAAAAATCACTTGACTTTGAAGCAAAAACATGTCGATGTCCTCTTTACTACCTTCAACATTTGCATACGTTTTCCCATTAAGATGGTAACCTGATGGTGCCATATCCGGAGAATACGGTGAGTAGGGGAGAACTTCCCAACCCAACTCCATAATATTGTGTTGTGTCAAACGTGCATTGTCGTGGAGAAGTACACCACGTTTCCGATTGATGAACGAAGGGCTTGATTTAAACGTTCCAGTTGCTGATTATAGATCTTTGCATTTCGCTGTGGATTGAGGAGTTCGAAATTAATTACTCCTTTGATGTCCCGCCAAGTGCAAAGCCTCACTTTCTGCAGATGGAGTCCAGGTTTTGGGGTCGGA